AAAAACTTCTGCTCAAACATAATCAAGCGGCTAGCTCCTCCGCTGCTCAAGGAAGTACAAGCGTCTCAGCTTAGGCCAGAAGCGGAACCATTCATGCCCAAGAGGACCACCAGGACGTCCAAGAAGACCACGGCGACCAAGCGGCCAAGGGATGCGCCGGTGGAGAACGTGTTGCTCCATGCCTTGGGCATGGTTCCGCACAACCTGAAGGTGGGCGACGGAGTGGTGCACGAGCTCAAGGAGCTGTTCGACTCACCGCTGTGTGACTAGCATGTCTGGATCATCGCGGCGCTCTTCGGCAAGGCAATCCCGTCCGTGGAGGATATGGAGGCACAGAACGCAGTCACGGTGTGCGCCTAGATGGGGCCACCTAGCGGAGTTGGGGTTGTAATCCTCCATGGATTTACACCCACAGGTGATTTGCTGGAATGCTCGAGGCTTGAACAATCCAGCCAAACGCAAGGCGGTGCGGGAATTCGTGAGTACTCTTGAGGTCAACTTAGCTTGCTTGCAAGAAACGAAATTGGATGTAATAGACAACTTTCTAGTTATGCAATGTTTGGGACCATCGTTTGATGGTTTTGCTTACTTGCCGGCTATAGAAACTAGAGGGGGTGTGCTTCTTGCATGGAAGAGCTCGGACTTGGAGGTGGAGGCCATACAAATCGATACTAACTTCCTGACTGGTCGGGTGCGCACTAAGACAGGTGATCCTTGGTGGATCTCAGTTGTTTACGGACCGCAAAGCGACGAGCAAAAGTGCAACTTCTTGGAGGAGCTTAGGTTAAGGAGTGCGGTCTGCCCGGGAGCATGGCTTCTCCTTGGCGACTTCAACGTGATTCTCCGAGCCTCGGAAAAGAGTAACACCAATCTTAACAGGAGCATGATGAACACATTCAGAGAGTTCGTGGATGATCATCAATTGCTTGAGATGTACATGCACGGGAGAAAATACACTTGGTCTAATGAGAGGGACTTGCCCACCCTCGCCAAGATTGATAGAGTCCTCATGACAGTGGATTGGGAGCTGGACAATGCGGATCACCTTCTGCAAGCACTGTCCACAGGAGTCCCTGATGACGCGCCGTTGCACCTCACCACGAGCGCGGGCTTTTTCCCTAAAAAAGGTTCAGATTTGAGCTTTTCTCGACGAGATTGGAGGGCTTTGAGGAAGCGGTGAGGGAGGCGTGGGTGTGCGATGACGCGATCATTGATCCGTATAAGAGGATGGATGCGCTACTACGCAATTCGGCAGCTACCTTACAAGCCTGGGGCCAACACAAAGTGGGAAATGTAAAGCTTATGATGAGGGTGGCTTCCTGGGTTATTCAGAGACTGGACATTGCGCAGGAAAATCGTGCTCTGCACACCTTAGAGACCCTGGCTCCGGTGAACACTCAAGCAAGCGTTGCTGGGCATGGAGACACTAGAGAGAACCATCGACAGACAACGCTCCAGACTCCGCTGGATTAGGGAGGGCGATGCCAACACTAGATTGTTCCAAGCAGTGGCTAATGGTAGAAGAACCAAGAATTTTATTGCACATGTCAAGACGGGCACGGAGATTGTCACCGATCAAGATAGAAAAGTGGAGGTGTTCTCGGATGCTTTCTAGAGGCTGCTAGGGATGGCGCGAGTCAGAGAGCATACTCTTGACTTGCAATATTTGGGGTTGGAGGCCAAGGATCTACAATGCTTGGAGCAGATGATAATAGAAGAGGAAGTTTGGCAGGTTATCAAGGAAATGTCGCCGGACAGGGCGCCGGGGCCGGATGGCTACATTGGTGCTTTCTTCCAAAAAGCTTGGCAGATTATAAAGCACGACGTCATGGCAGCTATGACGAAGCTGTTCATGGGAGACACCCCGGGTTTTGCTAAACTAAACAAGGCCAACATAATTCTCATCCCAAAGAGAGCGGAGGTAGAAGAAATTGGAGACTTCAGACCGATCAGCCTAATTCACAGCATTCCAAAGCTTTTTGCCAAGGTTCTTGCGAATCGGCTTCGCTTGCAAATGCACGAGCTTGTCGAGATGAATCAATCAGCCTTCATTAAGGGACGGCAGCTCCACGACAACTTCCTTTTGGTGCGCCAAGTAGCAAGGAAAATTCACGCAAGAAGAACAGCAGGTGTCTTCATCAAGCTGGACATATCACGTGCGTTCGATTCTCTTTCCTGGCCATTCCATTTCGAGGTGTTGAGAGCAAAAGGATTAAGCCAAAAGTGGTTAGATTGGATGGCGGTGCTATAACATACAACCAGCACCAAGGTGGTTGTCAACGGGTCGCCAGGGAGGAAGATCATACATGCTTGCGGCCTGAGACAGGGGGGTCCGATTTCGCCCTTGCTTTTTGTGATAGCCATGGAGGCCCTTTCGGCCCTTGTGCATAAGGCCACGGAGATGGGAGTGCTTTCCTCTTTTGCCAGAATCACGACAACACAAAGGCTGTACATTTATGCCGATGATGTTGCCATGTTCACCAGGCCCGCAGAGCTCGACCTGGCTGCTATTACCGAGATCCTCAAAGCTTTTGGCGAAGCATCGGGTCTTAGAGTGAACTACCACAAATCCACGGCTGTGCTCATACGAGGGAGTGAGGAGGATAGGGCCAGAGTTGCTGGAATGCTGCAATGCGACATCTCAGAGTTCCCCTGCTGATACCTGGGATTGTAACCAGCGATCAAGAGTCTGACAAGAGCAAAGTGGCAACCAATGCTGGATAAAGTAAGACACTTCATGCCAGCATGGCAAAGAGGGCTGATCCAGAGACCTGGTCGGCTTATTCTGGTGCAGTCGGTAGTGGCGGCACGCCCCGTTCATCATCTTATGGTGACGGAGGCGCCGGAGTGGGTGCTTGAGGACATGAATAAATGGATGAGGTCGTTCTTCTGGGCGGGCAAAGACAAGTGCAACGATGGGCAATGCCTAGTGGCTTGGGATAAAATCTGCCAGCCAAAAGCTTGCGGTGGATTAGGTATAAAAAACCTAAAGTGGCAAGTGATGGCGCTTCGAGTCCGGTGGGAATAGCTCAAGAGGACAGATGCTCAAAGACCGTGGCAAGGGCTACCCATGACACCACACGAGGAGGCGAGAGAGGTGTTTGATGCGCTGGTCAGTATAAAAGTGGGTTCGGGCGACAAGGTGCTCTTTTGGAAAGATAAGTGGATCCATGGAGTGGCGGTTGTGGAGATTGCGCCACTGATAGTAGCCACCGTCCCGACTAGGACGGCAAATAGATGTACGGTGCGTCAAGCCTTAGATGAGGGCAGTTGGGTGCATGATTTCGAGCATAACACATCCTTCACCGCCCTAATGCAGTACATGCACCTTTGCCATGCAATTGGTACGGTGGACCGAGACCCGTCACTGTCGGATAGTTTCACTTGGCCGAGATCACCGTGAGGCACATACACGGCTAAATCGGTCTATGACTATCTCTGTTCGGAGCTAGCTCGATCACCAATGGCTAAGTGCAACTGGAGGAGCTGGGCACCACTCAAATGCAAATTGTTCGTCTGGCTTGCCCTGCAGCACAGAATATGGACGTCGAACAGGAGAGCAAGACATGGTTTACAGGATCAACCGTCGGCGTGTTACACGTGCTTGCAGGCAGAAGACAACGTGGATCACATCTTGGTAAATTGCACATACGCGCGGGACGTGTGGCACAAGGTGTTTAGTCTCATTGCGATTGAGGTGCAGGATCCGGGGGAGTCGGACGTGTTCAAAGAGTGGTGGCTGGCAGAGCGGAGGAGATTCAGAGGGCAGGACCGTGGAGGTTTTGACACGCTGGTGACAGCGGTGGCCTGGGCTCTCTGAAAGCAAAGGAACGCTAGGGTTTTCAATAGGATGAGCGAGCAGACGACAACGAGTGTGTTACCATTTAGGATTCTGGAAGAGATTGCCGAGTGGAGGCAGGCTGGTGTAGGAGTAGGAGGCTTACAACGTTTTGTGAGGAGTTAATCTAGGATAGCCTGGTGTCGGAGTTGGGTGTGTTGTACCCCGTCCTCTGTGTTCGCACATCGGTCGGCAATCTTGTAATCATACTTCTCTCTTCTATAAAGCTAAGGTACGTTATTGGCGTATTCTCGAAAAAAAAAATATTGAGATAATTAATTGAACAAGACTCTCGAGAGTTAATGATAGTGCACCTAGTTCACTTAACAAGAAGAAAAAAAAGAGTAGGAATAAAACTTTGCATACTTCTGATGAACCTGTTACAGAAAAAACTATTGAGAATCATAATGATATTTCTATTCCATATGCCGAGACACAATTTGATGATGAACATATGCCTAGTGATAATGATAATGACAATACCAATGATGTTCATGTTGGCTCAATAGATCACAGGAGGCAGAGAAACTCAGCATCCCGAGTTCGTTCCCTCTATAACTTCTTTATAAGACGTTTTTTGACTAAAAGCCCTGTTATAAAAGGTTCCAGAGGGAGTATATATGGCCATTTGAAAAAGATAAAATCAACAAAAGAAAAATCAATTCTAACAAGACACTGATATGAATCTTAAAGTTTTCTTTATCAGGAGGTGGTATGTTTACTATCTTAAGCTGTGTCACCACATCATTGTAGATTGCCCTGTATGTACTATGAAATAAGGTAGATATGTGTTTGGAATATTCATACTTCGGACAGCTGTTGTGATTTCTGAATTTGTTTTCAGGATAAGGAGACAATGGCCTCCAACCATAGGTTCAGAAAAATACTACTGCATATAAGTAATTCTCAGTAGTTAGACTCGTTTCCTTCAAACTCAAGATCAATACACACCAGGAATCAACAACTGAAATACAATGCATTGCAAATCAGAAACTTTTAGATCCGGCTTGAGATGTTAAACACAAGCATCAAGGTTACCAGAGCATATTACGCACAGATGTTGACAATGAGCATCCAGGTTATCGATACATCAAACCAAATCACATGTATTTCCAAGCTTTCTGACCAAGAAAGAATCTCTAAGTTAGCACGATGAGATAAATTAGGCCACCTCCATTTCTGCACATTCAGAAGAATCCAAGTGCTCAGCTTGATCAATAGCGCCATCGTTGTCGCAATCAGCCTGCATTTCGTACGATTGCAACAGAAAATTCAGCAATGTGATAGACAATTAGACATGGTAGTACTAAGCAACATTTTGACAGGAACCAGGTAACATGTTTACCGGAACAGGGGTGGTCCGGCCCGCGCCCCAGCCGAGCAGGCGGCCGAGGGCGTCGGCGAAGGCGCGGTGAGCGAGCCTCCTCTTGGTCCGGGCGACCGAGCCGGCGTGCTGCACCAGGGCGGCGCAGCCGGGGAACCGCTTCCCCGCCCTGGCGCCGACCCCCTCGCACACCAGGCACAGGAACCACCCCGTCTCCCGCTCCACCTGGTAGAACCCCCTAAGGTCCGCGTCTTTCTCCAGCAGCTCGTCGAAGAACCGGGCCACATCGCCTTCCTCTTCCTCCCCCTCCTCGTCGCCGTCGTCGTCGTTATCGGCGTGCTCTTCAAACAACGCGCGGCACGCCCTCACCGCGTCGGCCTGGGGGCACCTTGCCGCGACCGGCGGCTGCGCCGGCGGTTCCGCTGGAAGGCCCCAGCCCCTGTCGGCGGAGGGCTCCGCCGGAGGGCCCCAGCCCCAGGCGGCGGAGGGCGCGGCGTCCGCGGGAGATGGCGGGTCACACGGCCAGGGCTTGTCGTCGAGTGGCTCGCCGGGAGTGGGGGTGGCGGCCGGGCGGGGTGGGGCGCCGAGGGGCTCCCACTGCGCGAGCGCGAGGGCGAGGTTCTCCTGCCGCTTGCGCTCCCGCTTCTGCTCCTTGTGCTTGCGGCGCTCCTCGCGCTTGAAGGCCGTGGACTTGGCCGCCCGGAGGCTGGGTTGGTGGCTAGGGCTTGGGGCGGGGGAGAGGAGGGAGACGCCGCGGTCGGGCTCGGGCTCCATTGCCCTGGTGGCGGCGGCGGCCGAGAGCTGCGTCTGCGTGTAGGTGGGGTGCGGGATGAATGAACAGACCCGTAACCGCGATTTTGATGGTGTCAGCTGGGTTGGGTGGCTGTGGCTCTGCCGGATGAAGGCCGTGGAGTGTGTGGTGTACCCAAAACAGAGGAGCACGTCATGCTGTATCACTGTGATTCTGGATCAAAGCTCTGATGATAAGATCGCAAATCGTAGAATCTTAACTATTAGAATCAAAATCGGATCAAAGCTCTGATGATAAGATCGTAAATCGTAAAAATCTAGTCTTAACTATCAGAGTCATAGAAATTCTAGTGACTAGATCATAGAAGCAGAGAGGTTAGTTTGGATCTTAAAACCATAAAACCCGATTTCAGAGAAGTTTTGATTTGTCCATCTCCTTCCTGAAAGGAAACCGCCGTGCCCGCTGTTGCACATAGAGTACATGAACTTTATAAACATACAAAATATGATTAACAAAATCAGTCTCCCTTTTTGAACACATACGGGTCCATTTTTGCAGTGCAAATAAGGAATATATATAGTATCTGAATAAATCAGTCTTTCCTTTTTTAACACATACAGGTCCATTTTTGCAGTACCAGCTCAGAATACATAGTACTTCCTCTCTAATATTCTAAACGCTCTTATATTAGTTTACGGAGGTAGTATATATCTGCTCTCTACGCGCATTTGAATCAAGAGCAGCAAAGGCTTTTGATGCTTAATAGCCACAAGAAAATAGCATCGGCAGTGTCCTTGTTGAATCACTCGTTCAATAATAATCAGTTCAGTGCCAATACTTCCCCGTAAAATAACGGAGAGACATAATGCACCAAATAAAATCAAACAAGAAAGATTGAGTGGATAACCACTTCGATAAACAGAATGTACCAAGTCAACGCAAAACAAGAGTGCATATGTGGATTACCACTTCGTTATGAGAATCCTATGTCTTACTGTACTTGAGAACTTAGATCATACACCAAACTTATAGGCTGTTTTGTAGAGCACATCTGAAGCTCACAGTTTCCAGGCTTTCTGCATGCGAGTTGTGCTATATACATTATGGTGACAAAAAATGTGATATATATTTTCCATCTCAAAACCAATCACCAACAAAAACATGACAGATGTAATTGCTAGACATGACATACACTGAGTAAACTTGTTTTGAAAAATACAAGAAAAAGGCTATGACATGACGAAGTCTTTTTATCTACACAAAACCAGATAAGGCACTTATATGCCGTTCTAGTAGGTAATGCCAGTATTACTGGAAACTAGCAAGGCATGCATCACCAGAGAGATGCTATTTACATTGCACAGGAAATGTCTTGGAAGCAAAAGGCTGACTTATATTGGAATTGCATCCTATGATACAACTGAAGATCAACTCAACGTTTTTACAGAGTAAACAGTATTACATATTTTATGGACAGTAAGATGAAGCAAACAGAAGCAATCCTGTATAGAAATACGATTTGCAACAGAGCTAAACCACTACCAACATACCTTGGGCAACATAAAGCAAATAGTATGCAAACAGGCATGCGCATCGAATTTACCAACATGCTGGACCGCTGGTAAGTGGTACCCAGCCATCACTACAACAGCAAAACAGGGCACCTCTATGCCTAACCATTGGGCGCTGGCAGTCGCAGATATAGGACTGATGTCCCCCCCAGGAATCATATCATGAATATATACTGGTCTCAAGGGAAGATATCATATCTCAGTATCCAAATAATAAGGCCTCTCCACCACCTAAATAAGCAGGCAAATAAAAAGTCAGTAATGGCTCTGAGAAGTAAGATGAACAGAAACATGGGCAGAACAGAGTGAAGTTATGTATTACATCTGCAAATCTTATTTGGCGTGGCCTGGGAGGTTTAAGATCATTCTCCTTTGGATGTGCCGAGACCCACGGAGCTTGTTTCCTCGACTGTACTTGGATTCCAAGAAAAGATGGAGGAGGTGGTTTATTCTTCACAGATGGCAAACTGCGAGAAAGCCAGGAATCTGAAGGCGACTTCGGGACAGGTAGCGGCATTAGAAATTGCAAAGGCATGCTTTCCTTCTTGACAGCGATATTATCTTCTGAATGTATTGGAACATCCTGACTACTATCATGACTTTTTCTATCATCCAGTGTTACTGATCCTGCATTTCCGGAAGGTATTAATGGAGCGGATTCCGGTACTTTGGCGATCTTTTCTGTCAATGTATCATTGTCTTGAGCTTCCACTATGCTGTTACTTCTGACTATCTGCCGTCCACCATGTTGAACATCACACCCTGAATTCAAAGATGCCTTTGGATCCAGTACCACAGTCAACTGGCTAGTCTCTGAATCAATACCTGAACGATGATCCATTGAATCTTCATGCAATGTTCTATCGACCCCTGAGCTCATGGAGCTTGATCCCTTCAAACTACTGTGATCTGATCCAAGCAACGAGCCATGATCATGGTCTATTCCAAGTGAGCTAGAGCCATTGCTTCTACTCATTTTCTCATCTTTATCTCTTACTTCAAATGACCCATTTGCTTTATGTGATGGTGATAAGGCAACGTCGCGGCGGTAGGGAGACATGCCACCACCTATGGAGTGGCGGAATGGTGAAGACCCATCGCCAGTTTGAGAGTCACTCCAGAATGTCAGATGGTTCGACTCACTTGTCAGCTTGCTCCTCCTATCCTCTCCTTGGTTAATGTACTTTTGTTCCAGCTTGTGCTTATAAACTTCCTCCCAGTATTGCTGCAGTGTAAATAAGACTGAGATGTTTAGAACTATCACTCATAAAACTCTGAATTCGTGAAGCATTGTTGTGTGCATCTGCTTACCCCATTAGAATCACAGCCAAGATTCTTACGTTGTGAGCTCCGGGCAAGAGGGCTCGGTGCTTTCTGGCCCCTGCCTTTGGATGCCAATCCCCTACCTCTCCCTGCTCGACTTGCCTTGCCACCCTTCATCATAGGCATTGGATTAAGTAGTAACAAGGAGGTTTTTACACACAATCCAGGGAGCAAACCACACCCCTTGGATGCAAAACCTCGGGTACTATGTACGTCGAAGTCATCATCATCTTCTTCCACCTCCTCCCCATGCTCATCGCGTCTGGGATAGTTGCAAGACAAATAATTGGGAGGAAGATTCTGGTAAGGGAGCTGGACCGGCGTCCTCCTGACGCGATCATCATCGCTGCCCATCCTCCAATTGGCCGCAGCGGCATGCGCATGCTCGCGGGCAGAGTTGCCGGTGGAGCCAGCTGCACTGGCCTTGCGGAAGGTGTACTGCGGGGAGCCCACGGCCACCGCCTGCGCGGCCGGCAGGAAGCGGTCCATCATGAAGCCGCGGGCGCCGGGCTCGGCGGCGCTGGCGGTCGCACCGGCCGGGCGGTCCGGCACGCCGCTGAGACCGCTGAGACCGCTGACACTGCAGTTCACGGTGAAGGACTCTGTGCGGGAGAGCGTGTCCAGCGCGTCCGAGAACCTCTCCTCGTCATCGCCGGCGTCCTCCTCCTCCTCCTTCCGCAGCACATCGGCCACGGAGAGCACGTCCGGCGTCGTGGCTTCCTTCCTCGGCTCGACCTCCGCCCTCTCCGCCTCACGCTCCGCGGCGCCAGTTCGGGGCACGGCAGGGGCGGGGGCGGGGGCGGGGGCGGCGCCGTTTGGCAGTGCGCGATCGCGCTCGCGCTCGCCCAGGGCGTCGTGGTAGCGGGTGGCGCCGCTCTCCTCCGGCCGCGGCTGCGAGGGCGAGGGCGGAGGCGGGCGGCGGGTGCGGACGCTCTTGGGCTGGCCGGGGCTGTGCTCCCAGACGAAGGGCACGGCGCCGGGGTGGCGGACGGGGCCGGAGTCGAGGTCGGCCTTGTGGTAGGGCAGGCGCGCCGAGCGCAGCGGCGCGGCCAGGTCGACCCGCTTGCCCGCCTCCGCCATGACGCGATCCGCGCGCGTCCGCCCCCGAGGCGTAGGCGGCCGGAAAGGGCTCGCTCGCTCGCGTGCTTCGGCCGCCGCGCGCTACCCGGCGGGGTGGAGTGGGGAGATCTGTGCCGTGCCCGTGCCGAGCCGCGGGGTGTGGCGATGGGAGACTGCGGTTTAGGTGCGGGTTTACCGGCTACTCCTACTAGTGCCGCTAGGAAGAGGAAGAGGAAGAGGCAGGCCCGCCGCCAGCCACGCTCTCCACTCCACCACGAGTGCGGAGTGACGGGTCGCGGTGGGGCGGCGGTGCGGCGTGCTATTTGCTACTCGCTCTAGTGTAATGGTGCGCGTGCGGCGAGGGATGGTGACACGGGTGCGTGCGTGGTGGGTGCTCGCGTCAAACGACGGTGCCGTGGGGACTGGGGAGGAAGAAGTCTGCGCGATCTGCCTAAAAAGGTGATGCCAGCACCATCGGCTCTAGTCCAGTGTTCGACGGCTACTCTACTCGGCAAACGCATCCATGGCTGCCCTGCCCTGTTTGTTTTTGTACTTATAAATTCTCCTACTGTGCTTGGTGTTCAGACGTGAGCGGATCGGAGGCCAAGTTACTGTATGAAGCAGGCAGGCACGGGTTGCCACTCCAGGCGCCTACGCGCGCGCGCGCGTGTGTGTGAATTGAGTAGGAATCTTGGTTTGTTTATTATCTGACGATCTGATGGAGCAGGGCTCGGTCGCCTAATAATTTGCATTTTTCTACTGTTTGCACATTCTACTTTTTCACTGCGAATTTTCACTTCTATCCTACGCTCTTCTTCGAGCAAAACAATGCAAGAATTCATTTTCGATAACTTTTAGTGACGGTCTGGGCTCGTTAAATTACGAGATGATTCTCTATGGCACGCATCCATGGCATGTTCCTGTGGCGCTGGCGCCACATGGGACCTGGGCCAGCGGGGCATCAGACAAGCGTACATGCCTCAACTGCACGCTGCAGGGGTACTGTTGCACGCCTAACGCCTCGGCGGAGAGCAGAAGCGGCTGGAAGGAAGGGGAGGGAAATTCCATGGCCAGGGTACAGCCTGCATGTCACGCAGTAGTACTACGATTATTGGAGATGGCTCTCATGCCATCACTGTTGAAATTACAACGTCTAAACCACTCTACGGCTCAGCAGCTGTGGTGTTGTGTGTTGTCGCATTGATTTTCTGTTATCACTGGTTAGCTACAATGTCGTCGTCGTCGTCCGCATACGGACCACGCCTAAGCAAGTCGCTGTCTCCGACAGCCGAACCGGAGCGACAACGACAGGGAAAGGATATGGACACAAGGAGCCCTTCCGCGGAGATACACTCGCGCCTCCGTGACTGAAGGAAGAAGACTAGAACCAACTATGATTAGTCTGCGTTTGTAGCGTTTCACGGCGAGGAGGGCGGCTTGCACCTTGCATGGTTCCATGGTCAACAGCTCCGGTCTAGTGTGGATGTGCTTTCAATAGGTGTTGACCGGTGACCTGCCCGCAGAGGTGTGCCGAGGAGTTTGCTGAGATGAGATGTGTGAATACAACGGAAATGGTCACATGGGCATCATCTAAAACTTGGCAGCTACTAGCACTTATTAGTGACCAACGGTACATGGTGATTGATTAGTGACGCCAGTGGAATACACCTGCCCCCGGTCCACACTCCACACCGTCGGTCGGCAGGGAGAGACGACTGAGATCGAAAACGTCTTGTAGACGCTCTCGTCCAGCGTACCGCGTACTGTCGGATCCAATAAAGAAGTTGTACTGTTGAAGATGGCGGTATACCTACACATTGGGCTCATGTTTCAATTCGGTGCTACAGGCGTACAGTGGACACCGGTGCAACACGTACGTACGAGAGTAAACTCTTGCGATATCCGTAACGTTCTAAAGTGGTCGAGGTAGCGTATGGATGAATTCAACTACACTACTCCTACTAAATGGATTCAAGGAGTTTGCTGGGTCGGTCGGCGAGGCCGGGCATGGTCGCATGGATGGATCGCATGAAAACGAGAGGTGGTTTAAAGCGCTCGTCACGCCTGTCGGTCGCCCGCCCCCGCGCGGTCCCGGCCCGGCCATCATGTGATCGCCGACGTAGGTACCGGTGCTCCCGTGAGCCCCCCTCTCTTGGCTCCCTGAACCTGTGTGTCTCGCCGGCGGTCGATTCACGCTCTCTCGTCTGCTTTGGATCAGTACTACTCACTACGTACTGGTTGATGGTATCGGACTATCGGTGGTACAAACGGTAGCTCGGTTGTTGCATCACCGGGTACGGGAGCATGCTAGCGGCTGGTGCACTCGTGACGCATCGTACAGTGCGTGGGTTGGAATTTAAGATACTCCCTTCGTCCGGGGGTATAAGTCATTCGCGTAGTTTTAGGTCATCGATTTGAGGAATTAAATATGTGTTATATGTCATGAAAAGTATACCACTAGATTTCCACACGGATGTAGTTTCTAAATATATATTTTTTGTTACATATAATACATATTTAGATAGTTAAATTATCGACCTAGAACTACGCGAATGACTTATATACCGGGACGGAGGTAGTACGTACCATGCATTCATTCATGTGTACGCTACACTGCGCTGCGTCCTACTACGAACGTAGGTTGAACTTAACAGCTCTTGCAAGCCACCTGCATCTATGCTTACCTTGTTTCATCACCGGTTCACCGCCACAGGCTACCATTGGATTCACTGCACCCTTGGGCGCTCGAACTGGGAGCACTGAAACCTTGAAAGTCTCAGGCTGAGATTAGTTGTTCAGTTCAATTTGTTTCCATCTGTTCTCTCAACTGATTGATCAGCCGCAAGAGGGAGGGTTGCTGCGAATCTCTAGGAGGAGGGTCATCATGCTGTCACTTAGTGTGGAAGCAAGATGAGGACCGCCCATGGCCAAGTGTGCCAGCCTGTGAGCTGCTGCAACCAAGTGACTATGTTCTTACACAAAATAAATTAAAGAAACCAATCAATCTTTTTGCTAGGGTGAAACTATCAAACTAGCTACAATATCCAAGTGACAAAATGACATTGCAAACATGAACTAAATGGATAGCTTGGACACATAGGTCCCTTGAGGTGGAATCGGTCTCCTTGGCTTTAAGCCTTAGATTTTCTCTCCAAAAAAAAACCCTTAGATTTGGCACGAGTGCTTGCATGTTTTTCGTATTTATTTCAGACTTTTCTGACGTTATTCTTTAAGTGGTATGATCTGCCCATCGACTAGGATGGTCCGTGATAAATTCATCAATCTCAAAATCTACCAGGTCAGTCTTTTGTGGTGCTCATAAAGGTATGATGTGCGCGTGCACATTCAAGTGGTGAGTGTGCGTGTGTGTTATGAGCGTCGACATTTGTACTGTGTTTCTTAACGAAAAAAATGACATGGCAAAGAGGATAATTACTAGGTGCAGAAGTGCTTAGGAATTACCTAATCAATGCATTTCTACATCGGCGGCATGGAATATGGTAGAATGTTGTTGCATCTGCACACTGTCAAATTCTGCCTTGGATTGTGCACATGTGTCGTTGTGCACTGATGGATTGACATGTGGTGGTAACACATGACGATATACGCCATGTGGTGCTCTTTAAGTGCAAAGTGTTGAGTTATAGATGTGAAAACTCTAGAACCAGACCTTTATTGGTTGAACCTCACAGCTCACGCGGTATTCCTTTGTTGAAAAGACATTGCATGAAGTTGATATAACTTTATTTCGGTTGAAAGCCTATGATCTAGGGTCACTGGTTGGGTCTAGCTATGACAGTGTTGGGAACGCAATATTTCAAATTTTTTTACCTACAATCACATAAGATCTATTTAGGAGATGCATAGCAACGAGACGGGAGAGTGTGTCCACGTACCCTCGTAGACCGAAAGCGGAAGCGTTTAGTAACGTAGTTGATGTAGTCGAACGTCTTCACGATCGAACCGATCCAAGTACCGAACGTACGGCACCTTCGTGTTCAGCACACGTTCAGCACAGTGATGTCCCTCGAGCTCTTGATCCAGTTGAGGACAAGGGAGAGTTCCGTCAGCACGATGACGTGACGACGGTGATGATGAAGTTACCGGTGCAGAGCTTCGGCTAAGCACTATGATGATATGATTGTTGAAAATATGCCCTAGAGGCAATAATAAATTGGTTATTATTATATTTCCTTGTTCATGATAATCGTTTATTATCCATGCTAGAATTGTATTGATAGGAAACTCATATACATGTGTGGATACATAGACAACACCATGTCCCTAGTAAGCATCTAGTTGACTAGCTCGTTGATCAATAGATGGTTATAGTTTCCTGACCATGGACATTGGATGTCGTTGATAACGAGATCACATCATTAGGAGAATGATGTGATGGACAAGACCCAATCCTAAGCCTAGCACAAGATCGTGTAGTTCGTTTGCTAAAGCTTTTCTAATGTCAAGTATCATTTCCTTAGACCACGAGATTGTGCAACTCCCAGATACCGTAGGAGTGCTTTGGGTGTGCCAAACGTCACAACGTCACTGGGTGGCTATAAAGGTTCACTACAGGTATCTCCGATAGTGTCTGTTGGGTTGGTACGAATCGAGACTGGGATTTGTCACTCCGTGTAACGGAGAGGTATCTCTCGGCCCACTCGGTAGGACATCATCATAATGTGCACAATGTGACAAAGGAGTTGATCACGGGATGATGTGTTATGGAATGAGTAAAGAGACTTGCCGGTAACGAGATTGAACAAGGTATCGGGATACCGACGATCGAATCTCGGGCAAGTACAATACCGCTGGACAAAGGGAATTGAATACGGGATTGATTGAATCCTCGACATCGTGGTTCATCCGATGAGATAATCGTGGAACATGTGGGAGCCAACATGGGTATCCATATCCCGCTGTTGGTTATTGGCCGGAGAGTTGTCTCGGTCATGTCTGCATGGTTCCCGAACCCGTAGGGTCTACACACTTAAGGTTCGATGACGCTAGGGTTATTAGGAAGACTTGTATGTGATTACCGAATGTTGTTCGGAGTCCCGAGTGAGATCTCGGGCGTCACGAGGAGTTCCGGAATGGTCCGGAGGTAAAGATTTATATATGGAAAGTTGTTGTTCGGGTTCCGGGAAAAGTTCGGTTTTTTCCGGTATTGTACCGGGAAGCTTCCGGAAGGTTCCGGAGGATTCCGGAGGGGTCAGGAGGTCCGGAAAATGTTCCACCACGTCCAATACAGAATCATGGGCTGTAGGGGGCGCCCTAACCTTAATGGGCCAAGGGCACCAGCCCCCCCAAGGCCCATGCGCATGGGAGAGGGGAAACCCTAAGGGGGAGGGCCTCCACTTGACTTGGGAGGCACTCCTCCCCCCCTTGGCCGCCGCCCCAACCCTAGATGAGATCTAGGGGGGCCGGCCCCCTCTCTCCCCACCTATAAATAGTGGAGGGGTGGGAGGGCGGCCACACCCTTGAACCTAGCGCAGCCCCTCCCCTCCAATACCTCTCCTCCTCCGCGTGAGCTTGGCGAAACCCTGCCGGAGAACTGCCACTCCATCACCACCACGCCGTCTTGCTGCTGTTGGACTCTCTTCCTCAACCTCTCCCTCCTCCTTGCTGGATCAATGCGTGGGAGACGTCTCCGTTCCATACGTGTGTTGAACGCGGAGGTGGCATCCGTTCGGCGCTAGGTTCATCGGTGATTTGGATCACGACGAGTACGACTCCATCAACCCCGTTCACTTGAACGCTTCCGCTTAGCGATCTATAAGGGCATGTAGATGCACTCTCCTTCCCCTCGTTGCTAGATTGCTCCATAGATTAATCTTGGTGATGCGTAGAAAATTTTAAATTTCTGCTACGATCCCCAACAGTGGCATCATGAGCTAGGTCTATGCGTAGTTTCTATGCACGAGTAGAACACAAAGCAGTTGTGGGCATCGATATTGTCAACTTACTTGCCGTTACTAGTCTTTTCTTGATTCAGCGGCATCGTGGGATGAAGCGGCCCGGACCGACCTTACACGTACTCTTACGTGAGACCGGTTCCACCGACTGAC